AATTACTTTTTACATTCGAATAAGGAGTAATTAAAAAATTATGAAATATAATATTTTAAAGGGCTAAATGCATGAAATAGTAATCTACTTTTATAAATTTTCTTATTATAGCATTTTACTTTTGTTTTTCTTTATTACAGCAATGTACTTTCAAATTATTTTTTATTAAGACATTGTACTTTAAAAAATCTACACATAATAGCAATGGGTAACTTGTTATCTTTTAAACCGGTTAACCCTTTGACTTTTTTGCTTGTGTGGCTTTAATGAGGTGATGTAGATGACACATCATTTTGATGACTTAAATAAAATTAAAATAAAAACTTATTTCAAATTATTATTAGTGATTTTCATTTTTCATTGCTATGATCTAAAAAAACATTTAATTTTTTTTACTTTTTCTTATTAAGTTGCATTCAAATTAAATATTCTTAGAGTAAAATATTTAATAAATAAATATGAAACATTATTTTCGAGATATATTTTGTTTGTAAAAAAGGTAATTTTTCCTATTTTATAATAAATACATATCTTTTAAAGTTCTCTTTAAAATATTAACGAAATAAATTGTTATCTACAATTTTTTAATGTTGTTATATTAATAAATAATTCAAAAAAATCTAATTAATTTAATATATTTATACGTCAAGTAAAATTTTTTTGAACAAATATAATATATTCTTTAAAAGATAATATTTTTTGGTAAAAATGAACAATTCTTATTTTCTTTTTTTCTTTTTTTCAAAAAATGCATATTTTTAAAAAATGTTAGCGAGATAAGTTGTGTTTTAATAGTTTTATTGATATTGGTATATTAATGAATAATTTAGAATTTTTTTAATTCATTTAATACATTTATTAAATAACATGTAAAATATCTAAATATTAAAAGTAAAAATACAGTGTTTAATAAGAACTAGTAGATGCTATAATAAAATAATTTTGAAAGTACAATGATGTAGTAAGAAAGTCACATCACTATAGTACACGTGGACAGTCTATGTGGACAATGAGGTGTCACGGAAACCTAGTATAATGAGTAAATTTAAATCAAAAGGTTACCCAATGCTATAATGGGTAAATTTTTCAAAGTGCAATGTCTTAATAAAAAATAGTTTGAAAGTACATTGATGTAATAAGAAAAACTGAAAGTACAATGCTATAATAAAAAAAATTATGAAAGTAGATTGCTATTTTGTGCATTTTGCCCTAATCTAAATAACGAAGCAGATGAATAACTAAATGAGGTGAACAGTAAAAAGAAAGCTTCCAACAATGAACTGTAATCTAATTAAAGTTTAGACCTATGTATCATCGACTTTCTAAATACGTTATCTCAATACGCTTGTTTATCCTTATTAGTAGACAATCATGAGAAGTTTTATGGCAAGTCCCTAATTAGTTAAAACAACTCCAACTACGGACATAGAAGTTGGGTTAGTAATTGCATTAATAATGAGACAAAATCCAATCCTAACTAATGAGTTGCAATTAGGGCTGTAAACGAACCGAACGTTCAGCGAACCATTCGTGAACCGTTCGGCGGGAAGTTCGTTTATGTTCGTTTATTTAATAAATGAACGAACATGAACAATTTTTTTGTTCGTTTAGTTAAACGTCGTTCATTCATTTATGTTCGTGAACGTTCGTTCATTTACCGTTCGTTTACGTTCGTTCATACAAACATATCAATTCACTATTGAGGGTCAAAGTGTATCACTCAAAGACGTCAATTCAATAATCATAGACTTACCATAGGCTTGCAAGAGCTCTCACTTTCCACATGCTTTGGATTAGATGCATGCTTAAGAATCAAAATGACTTTTGATGGGTGTAACATGTGTAATCCGGCTTCGGGTAAAGTGTGTCTACATATGTAGCCAAAGGTTATTTTGAGAAGTAATAAGTGATCTTAGCCCTTCATACGGTAAAAATTGGAGTTGACTGGTCAATAATTGCGACCTTAACTGGTATGTAATTGCAGCTCTGACTAGTAAGAAATTGCGACTATGTGAAAATTAGAGAGGGTAGTCTCAAAACTTTTATAAATAGGTGGCAAACAGGTTCATATATGAATCACATGAACCTATGTGATTCATATATGAACTATATGTTCATATGTGAACTCATGTAATTCACATAAGAAATATTTTATTTGATTCATATATGAACTAATTAATTGATTTACATATTCACACATGAATCTGTGTAATTCATATATGAATTAATTAATTGATTCATATATGAACTTGTGGGTTCATATATGAATCAGTTAAATATTCACATGTAAACTAATTAATTGATTCACATTTGAACATATAGTTCATATGTATATCATATGGGTTCACATATGAACCTCTTTGCCGTATATTTGTAAAAGTTACGAAACTACTCATCTATCTTCGGCATCACCGTACGAGGAATTATTTGATGCTTCACAGCCAAAGCCGCAAATGTTGATCAGATGAATGACTAGTATCACTTTTTTACTTCTCAAATATTTACCACTTCAAAAATGAACATTTCCCTACACATACACACACACACACACACACACACACACACACACATATATATATATATATATGTATAGGGTTAGGTTCACGTGAGACCAGCCTGTTTTCGTGAGACAACATTTTTACACTTGAAACTTTACAATAAAATATTGTGATAGTAAAAAAAATCGAACCAAATAACTTTCACAGTGTTTTACTGTAAAGTTTCAAGTATAAAAAGATGATTTCACAGGTCTTGTAAATACAACATGTTCTCATATGATTCCAATTATATATAAAGGTAATGAATTGGTTTGATTGACTATACAACAATCAAGATATAAACTTAAAAATTTATTTTGTACCACCAAACAGAAACCAAAAACAAAAAAATTTAATCAAAGCAAACTACTTTTATTACAAATTTAATAGTTCAAATAACGTTCAAAGCAACAAAAATTCAACTCAAATCTAAACAATTCATATCAAGCATACTTATATTTTCAGTACTCTGTGGACAAAAAACATATCGAAAATATGCTGTCCAAAAAAAACATTATAAAATCTCGATTTATATATTATATATTAGTTTATTTTGATGTAGTAATGTTGTTATAAAATGTTTATAAATTAAAACAATATAAAAAAATTATTGATAATGTAAATAGTAAATACTTAAAAATGTATATTTATAAATTGTTAAAATTTAAAACTAACGGTAAAATCAGGGATACAAAATATTGTGGATTTTTAATGCTTTTAAGCCTTAGAAAATGTCGGGTCAGGCAATCTTTATGGATTTGCTCTGCCTTACAGCCGTGCTTCCAATTGTAATTACCATTGTAGCACGTAAGTGGGGGTCTTGAAGTAGTGGCAAAACATTAGACTCAAGTGTATTTCATTTACTGTTTTGAAAACACCGAAGGTGTTAGGTGATGAAGGTGCTTGTGCATGTTATTTTTCTATCATGAACTATGCACACTTATATATTGAGGGTCGTTGTGGAACCAAAACTTTAAATTGGGACGTTGATTCAACAGATAATATCTAGTTCGGTTGATGTGTTGTATAGGAAGTCATTATCCAATTAGATCACGAGATATGTCCCAAGGATGCTTTGTCAAATCCTGTAAATGACTTGTGAGTGTGATTTACAAACCATACACATCATAAAGTTTTACAAAGATAAGATATGTCCGAAAAGTATTTTTAAGGTTAGAGGAGTTTTGAAGATGATCAATCTAAATTCTATATGAGGCTGCACATGGGTTAGGTTGGTCAGGTTGAAGACACTTAAACAACCAAATCTAATGTTTGTCGTTTGAAAAATCTCAACCCAACCGAACCCAACCAAAACCATGCGGGTTCGGTTGGGTTGAAACTTTGATATGTCATTTTATAATCTAGCTAAAGTGTTTTTGTTTAAAGAAAGTAAAATCAAAACGAGAACATACAATAAATCCTAACAAACTTAAAATAAAAAGTTAAAAGTTCATGCAAATAAGAAAATAAAGTTATGGTTGAAAATGTAATATAATTATAGCAAATTACAGATTAATCTAATATCTGATGTACATATATTAATCATGACTTCACAATAATATCAAATTCACAATATAGAAAGACATCTGGTTTATTGGGTTAATTTGGGTTCAAACTCTAACCCAATTCCCAATAGATGCAGTTTGACCTAATCATATATATACGTCGAGTCACCTCGGATGGAGTTTTTTAGTTTTTTCAAAAAAAAAAATTGAATTGAATTGGCAGGATTGATCGATTTTTTGAACACCCTGTTTGCTTAGATATCATATCATTCTTACCTGACCAGTGTTCATGGGTTGGATTGATCGGTTTGAAGGTATTTGTACGACTCAACCCAATGTTTACGGATTGAAAAATCTCAAACAACCCAACCCAAACTAAAGTGCAATCCAATCCAAATCGTATGGGTTGAACGAGTAAGTCGGGTTGTATTCTGTAATCATAATTTCTTTTTCATCATCAACCATTTTGTACAACTTATTCATACTTCATAACTTAAGTATATCATATTCAATTAATTTTCTCAATTTACATATATATGCATATAAAGAGGATACCTGATAGTGTAATTGTCTAATTTACATATTAATACAACTCAACAATCATATTAAATCCAAAAATAAAATAATACGGTTTAATCGGGTTGAATTGGGTTCAAATAATATTAACCTGATACTTACAGTTTGAAAAATTTACAACTCGATTAGAGATCAAGTTATTTCTAAATATGAGAATTGACCTCGACCCATCAAAAAACCCGATCCATCCGTCCCGATCGAAAACGAGGACTCCCCATTAAACGAGAGTCTCAGGTGGGGAATTGGGGCCCCACACATATGCCATAGTTCATCGTGCACATACCCATGCCCTTGGAGGAATAGAATACACCTTTATATAATTTAACGGTTTAAAAGGTGCTCCAAAGGTATATAACGAAAAGAATATATTTTTCTCAAGTAGAAAGGATTTCCCGTTAATTCCAGAGGTTTCCTGGGCATCGATCGAGAGGGAGATGGCAACTTCGAAATTGGCAGCAGCAGCGGCTGAGAGGCTGGGGACAGCCGCCAGACGCCAAGCCCTAACGCTAACAGAAGCGGCGGCGGGTAGGATACGCCACCTTTTACAGCAGCGCCAACGCCCTTTCCTTAAACTCGGCGTCAAAGCTCGCGGTTGTAATGGCCTTTCCTATACCCTAAATTATGCAGGTTAGGTTTTTCTCCCTAATTCGTAATTTGTGCTGATCAATCGTCAATCTTCTTATAATTTGACTTCTACTCGAGGTTGTTATAAATTATGAACCTGAAATCATTTAGGACTGCCGGTGTAATATTGTGTTAACTAACGGGATCGTTATTATAGTTTCGCCGACTTGGGAATCATGAAAAATGGAAGAAAGAAAAATTCGTTTCAACAAAATAATTGAATTAACAGAAAAGGCTTCGATGATATTCGATGTCGTATGAGAACTGTGAATGTGTGCCCTTTCGACGGTAGGATGAGGATTAATGTGCATGAGATGAGATAGAAGTATCATATAGTTGATTGTGTTTCGTCTTTATGGGATCTTGTCTGAACCAAGATACAGAGAGAGGTTGTCTGAGATTGTGCTGTGGCTATGTGCCTGGTCTGTTGATACTTGATTTTCATTCTGTCGTTTTGGACCATGCCTTAAAATGCTTACCCGGGGGCAAGAAAGACAGATTATTTTTTTTTCATGGGAGAATTTTTTGTTGCATACACAGCTTATGTTTCACAGGCTTCTTTTAACTTTCTTTGGCCTTGTCTTAGTGGCCACTCGGTAGTTAGTACGTTTAGTAGCTTCAAGAAAAAAAATGCTTGCAGTGACAATTTAGGGGTGGAAGGTTGATTCTCGTAACTCTAGATTTTGTGCTCCCTTATCACCCAATAGGCTAGAAGGCAAAAGCATCCTGGCATGTACATTTAACAAATGCGATTAATCACATTTTCACTGCAAGACCTTATAATGATCGATAGTTAAAAATATGTTACTGATCCTAGGACCTAGTGATACTGCTGGACAACTATTGTTGTTCTCTGCTGATACCTTGTGAAGAAGAATGTTGCTGTTCTCAAAGGGTCCAGCTGATCTGCTAGAATGTCTTCTTTAGGACGTACCTGATTCGCATCAGTTGCATGGTTGTCTTCTTCAACTTGAATATAAATCCTGCTCTCTGTTGTATAATCAAATAGAAGGGACTTCCTATTCTCCATTTTTCCTGAAGCAACTCCGTAAGAATTCATGAAACTTGTCATTAAGTGTTGCTGATCACACCATATAGGGACTTGGTTGTGCTTCAATTTCTGTTTTTCTAGGAGTCTGAGGCAAGTGTATAATAGCTGCACATTGATGAGGTCATCGTGACTTGGCATATTATGACCAAATGTATCGTTTTAATAAATGTGCATCCAGGACATGATATAGCATACTAGTGTGACAGTTAGAATCTCATGCATATCTCTTGCTCATGTGCAAGTTGGTTATACCTTTTAAGGTATAGAGGTTATTCAACCTTTAATGCTACCATGGTTGTTATTTTTTTCCACTTTGTGTAAAAAGTTGATTTTGTTCCACTTTGTGTAAAAAGTTATGTGCTGTGAATTTTCCCGAGGATGTCTTTATATTCCACCAGCTTCCATTTAGTATTGGATTGAATCAAGTTGTACCGTAAACCCAAAATAAATAGTGTCACTGTCAGCTGGAATAACATTTCATGTATAAGGAAGTGAGGAACGAGTCTAGCCGGGGGTCTTCACGGAAACAGCCCTCTACTATTTGCGGTAGAGGTCAGGTCTACATACATATTATCCTCCCCAGATCCCACCAGACCTCCGGATTAGGCTCGTTTGGTTTGATTTATACAAGTAGTGAGTCTGGCATGATTCAGTTCTCTTATTTGTGGTCTCATGTTTTCTCTTCTAGACTCTTTGCCAAATGATTGCATTCTTATAATAATCTTAAATGTAGAAGGGGGTAAGAAAAAGTATATATTAGATCAAATTGATTATTTTGCAAGTGTGGTGTAGCATCTTGAAAAATATTATGATAATTATTACCCAATATTGCAAGAATACTAATTCTTTTTATGTAAACTAGCCCAAGGTGGTGCAGACCCCAAATTTTCAAATTGCTCCACATTGCTATTAGATCTAGTTTCTTAATCTTATAAAAAATGTTTGCTCATGAAAAGCTTATTCCTAATTTGCTGTATATATGATTATCTTCGCCTTTGTTCCCACTTCCCATTATCATTAGTAAGATAGAGAAGAGCTAAACAGGAAGAAGAACCTTTCAGAGGGGGTTGGTTGGCATGGAATTGTAGTTGGAAAACAACCATTGAATGTTGGAAACATGGATGCTTCTCCCCCTTACTGAATCCCCATTTTGTGCCTTTGGTGTAGTGGAGGCAAGGGGACACAACAAATTCTTCTTCCTCAATACTTTAGACTACTATGAGCGCAACAAGTAAATTCACAATAATGCTTGGACTTAAGTATATACTTGATCCTTATAAGTACACGTTTACCATGTGCTATAGAGTATGTATTCACGCATGGGTCAAGCACTTATTGTTCATTAATTTTTGCTTTTGGTAATTTATGCTGCCTTCATCCTAAATTAGAATTCAAATTTGATACTTAATACGTGATGGTTGAACTTTGAAGATAACTTCTTCCTTTTATTTGTTTGATTATAGACTTATATTACATTTATACATACATAAATATTATGAGGGCTGTCGAATTCTTTCATCTATATACCATGCACCCCTTATCCCCATAACAATAACCTTGCAATGTAGCTCTAATTTGACATTTTAATAGTTTAACTGCATTACAAAAAGCATTTGCATGTACAGCTTCTAGCTAACCATTTTATCAAGGCTAGTATATGTGTGTGTGCGAAAAAGCTTGGCCTCTGACTACAAGATGATTACATAACCCTTTGTTGAACCAGTTTGATATAGGTCAATGATTTGGCAATGCCTGCTCCACAGTTGTATTAGAATGCATCTCCTATGACTTGATTAGAGCTACATTATGGTCTATGTGCTACAAGACTTCTTCTTGAACTTTATTCACAATTTTTTCTATTCTGGAAGGTACTTGCACTTCCAGTACAGTACTTTTAATTCCATCATGTCAGCTTAAATTTCATTTTCATTTGGATTCTGAAGACTTTGCATTCTTTCTAGAGATGGGAATGAGACCTGCCCCATTGGGGAACCCGGTGTACCCACCTCATGGGGCCGGGGATTCCCCGCAAAACTGGGGACCGAGGATGGGGACAGGGATAAGGACGGAGATTAGGGATCAGGGATGGAGATGGGGTTTGGGGTTCCTGCCCCATTCCCATGCCTAATTCTTTCACTGCTTAATCTGCTCAACTTTGGTAAGGCATTTGCCCTTACTTGACTTTAGGTTTGTCATGAGCTGAAGCTGGCTCACTGAAAATAAAAACATTTCTTGCTTTCGTCATTGTTCCTTTTAGATTGATTGATGAAGAAATGATATCACCTAATATCGGCAGGTTCTGATGTTAGTTAAGAAGACATATATTCCTTATTTTAGGACTTAAACAGAATGCTTCTTAAAACTTTTGCAAGTAACATACCCACTAATGTTGAAGCAGAAAATAATGTTTTGCTGCTCCCCCTTTTTCCTGTGGTACTTCGCATTTGGCATAAATTTATTTCATCCATTTATGTCAAATCCAAATCCTCCCTATTTATGAATGTGATATTTGTTAAAAATTTCAAATATGCCTAATCATTAGGCAATTTGATCTGTGCTTGAGTGCATCCTCTTTGGTATGTTGAGTTCTGTGTAACCTATCCATTAGAATCTAAAGCCTAGAGTTGCATGCTCATGGGAAATTTATAGATTTAATACACCAGCTTTCAGGGCATGACATATGACACCTTTATCCTGACAGATAATAGAAGTATCAACTGTTAAGGAGTTCTTGAAGCTGCAACTCATCTTGTCTGTCGTTCTATTTCTCCTTTTCCTTTTGGAATTTCAATTGAAAATAGTTGATCATATGTGTGCCATAGGAGATCTGGTTTGAACTTCTTGAGTTACAAGTTGCAATAGTAGTCGTATGAAGTTCCTGATGTGGTGATATCTTGAATGTACAGATGAGAAAGGGAAATTTGATGAGTTGATTGAGGACAAGGGTGTGAAGATATTGATAGATCCAAAGGCTCTTATGCATGTTATTGGTACCAAGATGGACTTTGTAGATGACAAGCTCAGGTAAGAAGCTCCGTCGTATATTTTTGGGGTCTTTATTTTCTAGAATCTTGTGTGGACATATATTGGATCCTTTATGAGCATGAATTAGAATAGATAATAGCAGAATACACACTCGCTGCCACTTCCCCGACATCACCAATTTGTTATCACAGACATATATGCCCAGTAATAAAGCTAAAACTGGCACCCCCATCAACAAGGGCAAACATTCCAAACGCCTTTGTGTATGTGTCTGAGCTGAAAGACCCTTCTAGGCATGAATCATTTCTCTGGAACATATGCTTGGTGTAGTCTTGCATGTATTAATCATGTCCATAATACTCAGCAACTCATTGGAAGGCTGGAAAGATAGATAAAAAATCACAGGGAAGTGTTAAAGATGGCAATTTGATGTAGGGATTAGTATTACTAAGCGATTACTATTCTGTAATCTGTACCATCTTGAAGTGCATAAAACACAGAGGGCATTCACCTTAGTATCATGCCCAAGAGCTTCTCTGGAATCTCTCAGCTGTTTCAGTGAGACATGAGTGAAATATGGTGGTTTAAGCTGGTACTGGACATCATAAAACATATACTTATCCATATCTAATGTGATCTGTCATCACAATTTACGTCAAACAAGTTGCTGGTTTTGCAGACTTGGCTGAATGAACCTAGACTTGTCCACGTTTGGCACAACATTAGGCCGGGACAGAACAGGACCGAAATGAGACAAAAAGGCTTTTTTTTTTGTCCCACCAAAATACTTGAAATAAAAACTTGTCTAATGAGACAAGATTGATAAATTACTAAACTACCAATGTCAAATAAAAACCCTAAAACCTTCCACAATTGTTTCACATGCCTACCTCACTTTGCCCGTCCAGTCTTGTTGGAGTACCATAAACACATAATCCACTGATTCTAGAAATAATGAAGTTCTTCTCTCGTACTTAATTCTAGAATTCTATAAAATATTATCGATACTTGGTCCAAACACATCAATTGTAGTCAACTGAATCAAGATTGCATATCAGTCTTTATCAAGACAGATGAACACATTTAAGCCAAATAGAGAAGAGTTAAAAGGCTTTTGAGTAGACACACATGGTAACAGGATGAAGTATTGCAGCTGTAATTTAAGAACCATTTAAGGTCTACAGATGTCAGGTAGTATCTTGTTTGTAAGTGTATTTTCGTATGTGTGTATTTAATAGTGATGGAATTATAAGGTTAAAATCGACCAACTAGGCCGAAAGTCCAAGATACAGTTTTGGGACTTTTGTACAGAAAAAGTGCAACTTGGAGGAAAGGTACAAGTTTACAATGGACTCACTTGAAAAAATCCAACTTCAACAGAGTACTACTATTTGAAGGATCTAAAGTAGCCATTTTCGGAAGATGCTTCATGTCTGCTTCACTTAGAAATAAAATATTGATTTAGAAGAAAACAGACAAATAAACTGACTCATCCTGTTAGTGCTTCCATGATTACTTCTAATAGATGTGGATGTTCTCTTTGTTGCAGATCTGAGTTCATATTTATTAACCCCAACTCAAAAGGACAGTGTGGGTGTGGGGAGTCGTTTATGACAACAAGTACTGCAGAAGCTACAAAGGCTGGGGGAAGTTCTTAATCGTGTTCACAACAAACAAACTACGGTAAACCTGGGACCACACCCTTCATAATCCTGTATAGTATATGTGAAATTACCTATCTAGCCTTTCCATGATAATTATAATACTTTCTTTTTAACTGCTAAAAAAGCAAGTTATTTCCCTGTTCCTGTTGCTTCCATGCCTTAGGGGTTGTTTACCTAAATGCTTATCCGGTGAGTGCTTACCTTAGAAGTCAACACTATAATTTATTTTACTGGGTAAGGTTGTAGTACATCAAAACGTATTACATGCAATATTTTTCCTGGTAAGCTCTTACCCGGGTAAGAGTCGTCACCCTCACTTACCGGGTAAGACTTTCCATCCTTATCATTGTTCTTACCGGGTAAGATTCTTGGTCTTGCCTTGTTCATCCGGTGAGGAAAATTACCCGGTAAGTACTTACCGGGTAAGCGTTTAGTAAATGGAGAGAGAAGTTGTATAAGTTAGCTGTTTGATTGTAGTTACCAATGTTACCCCTTCCAGTCAACAAACATGCTTAAGAGATTGATTGATAGTATCTTGAGAATTTTGAATGCATAAACTTTTGAGACAGAAAATAAAGAACATCTCAAACAAGTAGGTAATTAAAATTTTCTTTTTGTAAAATGGGTTTTTGTTTATGAAGTTATATACATCTAATTTTTTGTTTATAAAGTTATAGCATGTTTCCTTAATTATAGGAAAGACAGAAATGGTGCGTCCAAAACAAGATAAGTTGTGGATATGAAGGATAGGTTATGTGCATTATTTTATTATCTATCTATAATATATAACTTGGCAGTTTAAATCCACCTGCATAGTTACTTTGCACTTGTATGAATGGTGAAACACATTGTTTATCAATAAATATTAAGTAAATATGACATTATTCTTGCTTATCTTACCAATTATCTGGGTAAAAGCCCTCATTCCAACTTACCGAGTATGGTTCTCGGTTAGCAAAATGGCATTGTTGGTAAAAATCATTATCTTTTACTCGGTAAGTATTGCTTACTTTGTATGAGGCAATACATGTTCAGTTACCTAGTAAAAGACGGCAAGTGTTTAGTAAACAACCCTAAGACCTCAAAATAAATTTTGTATGTTCCTTAAAACGTTAAAGATCGTCTGAAGGTATAAGTGCTGAAGTAGAATCAATTGGAGTTGATAATATGGATGCGAATGCTGAGAACATTCAAAGATCTGAACAAATCTAGCAAAAAAAAAAAAACCCAACAAATCTAGCTTTATTTAATTGAAATCAAATGGAGATGAACATAGTCTAGTAGTAGAGAAATCAAGATGATTCATTATCTGAAAACATATAAGAATTACAACCAGAAAATCGAATCAAGAAACTGAAACCTATTGTTGGAATTGGTTTTATTGTTTGAAACCAATACAATCATTGTTCCTGCTTGGTGAAGCCAAACTTGTTGGTACGTCTGGCCATCATCCAGAAGCATCTCCATCACCTATGATTTTTTATTTGCCTCCAAGAAATCAAAAGCCTTTTGACTGTTTCTTCGTCACTAAAGCAAAATCAAAACCTAAACCTTGAATTCGTTGTACAAAAGATGGATGTTGAGGGGTCATGAACCAGGAAATGCAAGTAGATACGGAGCAGGACAGAAGTAGAAGTTGATTAATCCAGTTACACAGAAGTAGAAGGTGCGATGATGACGGTTGGATCTAAAATATACTGATTAAGCTGTTAGATCTCACCACATCGCATATTTTAGATCCCATCACCATCGCATCTGTTAGTCTCGCCACGTCTCTGTGATGGCTACACCTTGATTGAGAAACGAACGGTGGGTGGAGGAGTACACCAGCATGCATTGTTTGCGGGATGTGATTAACTTCTTCGACGGTGGTTTATTTCTCCCATTTGTTAATGTATATGTCTATATGTATTATATTAATATATAGTATACTAATTAATATTTGTTTTTTAAAGAAATATGAAGAAATGAGTGAAAAGACACAAATACCCCTTACTTGGCGGATATATTTAACGGAGTTAATGGTCAGGGACCATTTTCAAAGCAAAATGTAAACAGTAGTGATGATAATTATAGTAATTGAAGTCTAAGAACCATTTTTAAACATATTATTCGTGTAAACCACATGCATCAATACTCTTTGTTCAATGGGGTTATGAAGTAAAAAGAGGAGCCATGGTGACATTTGAAGCTGTCTTTTAATTCTTTTTATATTTTTAGAAGGCAATAATTTGTTAAAATTTATCAATATATTCTTATTAATTGAGATTTTTTCTTTAATATGTGGGGACCATAAGAGTCTTTAAGCAATTGTTTATTAAACTGATAATAAAACAAACGCAAGTTAAGTAGAACTATTTCTTATCATCCATACAATTCTTTACTATAATTATCTATTCTATATTTTTTTAATAAAAACTCTTAAAAACCATTTTTTATGCATAAAATACTATTTATTGATGTACATTACTTAAAATTCAAGATTACAAGTAAAATGTGCATAAATACAACTTATTAAAACTCTATATTTGAATTTGTGTAACTAACTGCGGAACGGGTCTCATCCTCATACCTAGTTGTCGTCACGTACGTGTGTGTGTGTGTGTCGAGGTAAATAAAGAATCAATACTCTATCGTTCAATTTCGTAAAAAAAAAATCTAACATTAAGAGTTTTGTAAAAATCAGTGAAAAAAAAGGAGGAAACGATGAATAAAGTTGAAATATTCGTAATATATAAGTTTAAGAACATAGCGCAATTTTAAATCAAGAACTCCAACATCAACTCAACTAACAGAAGTTCTTGTTAAATACCAAGAGATACCAAAGAAGAATAAAAAGGTTGCAAAGTTTTATATACTGTTTTTAAGAAAGTGTTGTATTTAATTATGAAATAAATGCGATGCATGTATGTTTCGTAACTGGTAAATATGGAATTATAATGGAGGTTAGAAGATTCTCTTATACAAGATGATGTATACAAAGTGTTCGATGAAACTCTTTCATATCATTAACAATACTAGTTGTGTACATGCGTAATGCGGCGGGAGCCGTGAATTTTAACGATTTTGAAGTTTCATTGGTTTTATTAGAGAAGATTTGACGATGATATAAGTTACACTTGGTCTTTATATATTAATATAATTTGAATAAATAAGAGTTATGGTTTCAATTACAGTCTATCGATAAAAAAAATTGTACGACGGTTTAAAATTCAATATATTTAAAATCCAACATATTTAAACGACTCCATAAATGTGTTCGATTTACACCAAGAGCAAAGAATCAAGAGATCGAGAGCGAGAGTTCTAGGGCAATTGAATGGGAGAACTTTTAATAACTCATGGTGAATATCAGTTTGAATCTCACCTTGGGGGATGGGAAGAAAACATAGAGGTATGAGAGAGTAAAGGCATGAGTGAAAAATGTCAAAAGTATCTTGGGAACATGAAAAGAAAAGGTAATAATGTGCATTGGTAACTTGTATTATATGTTATTTTAATTGTAGATCAAGAGATTTTAAGACTGAATGCATAAAGTAGTAGTACTTAATGCATTATGAGTTGTTTTTACGACTTTTAAAAGTTTGTGCATAAATGTATAGTACTTTGTGCAATTTAGTAAAAGGTTGAGGGATTGAGGCTGACAATGGAGGTGACGGGTGACCGATTGAACCCCGTGTGCGGTCCCCACCCTTACGTTGTCTGTGCTTGGTGCGTAAAGGCCTTACCTCCCGGCCGATTTTTTAATTTTTGTCCCATCCTGATACCACACTATTTATTTTGTTCTTTCTCAATACAACACTATTTATTTTACTTCTTCCCAATACAATATTATTTATTTATTTTTATTTCCAATACAACACTATTTATTTTGATCCTTCATAATACAATATTATTCAATTTTGTCTTTTCCTCCTTAACTGCACTATATAAATAATTCAAATTTCATATTATTATCATAAAACCAACACTTCAATCTCTATTACCTAATACAATCTTCATTACCCTAATATAATCTACATTACCTACATTTAATCGTCTACATCATGGTAAGTTTACTTATTTTGATTTTTTATATGATCTCATTTCTACAATGTATTAATTTTAATATAATTTTGCTTTTACGAGAAATTTTTTATATGATCTCATTTTACAATGTATTAATTTTTATATGATGTCTTTTTTACAATGTATTAATTTTAATATGCTCTCGTTGTTACAATGTATTAATTTTAATATAATCTCGTTTTTACAATGTATTTTTTATATGATCTCGTTTTTACAATGTATTAGTTTTAATATAATCTCGTTTTTACAATGTATATGTTTTATATGATCTCATTTTTATAATGTATTAATTTTAATATAATCTCGTTTTTACAACGTATTTTTTATATGATATTTTTTGTAACTTATTTATCTTATATCTATCAGGGGGGTTATTATGAAGCATTTGTTAACATAAAATCAAGTATTGAAATTTCAAATACATATTTGAGGGCATTGCAAAGGTCGGGAAACCGACTAACCGTAAAATAACGAAGTTGTATTTTAAAATAAATTGTTTACTAGCTATAAAATAAATAAAATGTAGACATGGATATTGGAAGCATTTCCACATGCTTCCTTCTCTTATGGTTTATGTACCAATTGAGTCATCTCTAGGGCATGTGTCTGGCAACGCTGGAAACAATTATTGTGACATGATTTTCTTAGAAACATACATGTCGATAATATTGAAGATGTGAGTTTAACCAACTTATCTGGAATAATTTATTTTATTAACTGTAACTAAATAATTTGCGTTTCTGGAAGATAATCTATCACATCGTTGACTAACTGCCACGAACCTCCACCAAAAATACGTACTCGAACTTTCTCAATCACATACGTTGATCCTTGAGAATTTGGAGAAAATAAATTTTTTGGGTAAAAACTGTATTAGAAGATACTAAAAGGGTACTCGCGCAATGCAGCTATACATCTTGATTTTAATATTACATTTTATTATTTATCTCAGTCGATGTTACAATATGGTCTTATGTGATTTTGAAAAAGCGATGATGTTTTTATTTTTGAATAAAATATAAATTTGAAGATATCATTAAAAATTGACAAAAATATATCGATATTAGTATCAAATTGACTATTTAAAATTCATATTTTTTGTGTAATTTTTTAATTCAATTCTTTTATTATAATTTAATTTATGTTCAATAACGAAGTAATTTATATTTAGTTTAATAATATAATTTTCTTATAAAGATAATAATTAATTATTTTGTTAGAGAGGTTGACACAATTTGCATTGTGCCTTTTGTTTTCCGGTCGTGAGAACCACCAAGTTGTAGTGATTCCAAATCTCGGACTTTCGTCCGTGTTCAGCGAGAACTTGGGCAACTTGTTCGTTTGATGGTTGTTCACCGGCCATTTCGTAAGTAAAAGAGAGAAAAAAACGAGAATTGTGAAGTGGAAACGAGAAATTAATACGTAGCGAATTCACAAAATGGAGCGAAAAACCGAGAATTGAGAGCGTTTTTTAGCGTTTTTGAATTATGAGATGAATTGGTATGTTAACTAGGAAAATCTCATGTATATTTATACTAATTTGGTAGGAAAAAGGGTCAAAAATCGACCCCCAACGGCTAGTTTGATCTCCCAAACAGTCATGTTGACTTTCGTTGACCGGGCCGGGCCCATAACCAGTCCCGGTTCCGGTCGATCCCGGGCCTAAAAATCGCTCTAATCCTTAACCGGATCATAACCGGCAGTCCACAACCGGTCCTCCTGGTTCCGGTCGGTCCCTCACTGGTCCCGGTTCTGGTCCTTCTTCGGTTACGGGCCGAGCTGGTCCCATTTGGTCATCACTATGCGTAGGGGTATCAGGTGGTTAATTTTATATAGTTTGAAATTTTAGGGTTAAAATTGTAATTTTAAATTTCAGTATCGTTACTTTTATCAGGTTCCCTTGGTATCTCATCCCCTTGGGTAGACCCAAGTGGTTAGGTAACAACCATACAAGTACTGTACTACTACGACGTGCCATTGTTGACGCAATACGGCCAACAGGAGGCAGATTCAGCCATCGGTGGAGGAGTTATGAGTACCACGGTGGCAGTTGCGGTGGATGAGCACCAGCAGCAACAGCTCAAGAAAGGAATAGCGGAGTTCTATGACGAGTCTTCCGGGATTTGGGAGAATATATGGGGAGAACACATGCATCACGGTTTCTACGACACTGATGCCGTCGTAGAACTCTCCGACCATCGCTCTGCTCAGATCCGTATGGTTGAAGAAGCCCTACTTTTCGCCTCTGTTCCTGGTATATATTTTTTAAAGTTCATCCTAATTCTTTTTACTTCGATTCAATCCATTTTCTACCTCGTTTGTCGAAATCTGGAACTTCATATCTACATTTCATGTTTATTTTCTTTGTGATTGCTACTCATAAATTCAAAATCGACAAGTCTGTAAGTTCTGATTACTACACTAGAGATAAAAGTGAGAATATTTAAGCCAACTTTGAATCAATCAGAAATCGACTTCTTTTGGAACAGTGGTTTTTGCGTCAGATGCTCCTTATTTGTATTTGACAGTCACCTTCGTTACTTCATGAACTTATTTCCATTGAATACACTCATGCTCAGTAGGTTGTGATTTGTGAATGATACGTTTTGCAATTATGTATTTGTTGTTAATTTTTATAGGATTCGTAACCATCGATTGGGTTGTTAGACATTCTAGATTGATTTATATCCAAAATATGACGGGAGAAGTAATCAAATAACGTGCCAAATGCATGTCATACTTTACCCTTCTGTTTATATTACGTTTATTTCTCAAGGTGAATTGTAACTCAGCCAGTCTCATGATTCTCACTCCGTCACTTGCCATTTGTCCCTTTATTTTGTATGAATTTTCTTTGCAGATGATTCAGAAAAGAAACCAAGAACCATAGTTGATGTTGGGTGTGGAATAGGAGGTAGCTCAAGGTACTTAGCAAAAAAATATGGGGCCGAATGTCATGGAATCACCCTCAGCCCTGTACAAGCTGAGAGGGCTCAGGCCCTAGCTGCTGCCCAAGGATTGGCCGACAAGGTACCAAGGTTATCATTTCTTTAAGCAACTGGGAGAAATTGCAGAAATCTTCCAATTTTTGCTAAAGCAATTACCTGATCTTCATGCGAGTTAATCCTATTTGAATGTAATAAGGTCTCATTGAAGGAAAGATTGTTGCATAATTTGGGCTTCTTTTAGGATGAATAGGAGAAACTAACCAATGTCTATGTCCTACCACATATTAGAAAGTAGAAAGCCATGAAATACACTCACAAATATATAACCATCATGGAGAGACTAATTGAACCACAAGCAGTTAGCCATGTACAATTTAGAAGCCTTGCAAACGATGACATTTTTCCTCATTGTGGCACTTATAAATGGAAAAAAGTCTAGATACCCCCAATTTGAATATCAGGTCACAACGGAATCCAGTGTAATAGCTGAGGTGTCTGGTGATCATGGTATGTCAATCACTCTATTTGAACTTCTTGAGCATTGATTCTATATAACTGAGTCAAGCAATCTCTAAAAACTTGCACACATGATATAATTGATTCCCATGTTTAACTGGTTTTCCTGTTTGGATAGCTCTAACGAAGGAATTCAGCCCCATTGCTGAGCGCATTTTCTTGTTTTCCCTTCTAGTCTTAACAAGAAGTATGAGCATAGAGTTCTTGAACTAACCATGAAAAGTTAGCAGGTTTCATTTCAAGTTGCAGATGCTTTGAACCAACCATTTCCTGATGGGAAGTTTGATCTGGTTTGGTCAATGGAAAGTGGAGAGCACATGCCTGACAAACTCAAGGTTTTTGCTTCCCTTGAGAAATCTTTGAAATTCTTTTCCATTGGATGTAACGGGTGATGTATCTATTCGTGCTACTTACACAAGTTCTTTAATGGACAGTTTGTTAGTGAGTTGGCTCGAGTGGCCGCCCCAGGAGCCACAATTATTATAGTTACCTGGTGCCATAGGGACCTTTCTCCCACCGAAGAATCCCTACGCCCAGAGGAAGAAAAGATCTTGAACAAGATTTGTTCCAGCTTTTATCTTCCTGCTTGGTGTTCTACTGCTGATTATGTAAAATTGTTGGAATCCCTTTCTCTTGAGGTAAACTCCATCTTGATGTCATGATACAACACCTCATAACTGGCTAACCACAGGTCGATCCAAAATCCAAAATAATTAATATACTATAAGATAAAGCAAAAATCAATTATAAGAAATACGGTTTGATTAAAAGTGACATACGAGTGGTTTTTTGCAGCAACCAGATGATTGTTTCTAACCACAACGGTTGTGGTGTAGTGGTTGAGGCCAAAGGGGATATGGTGGAATATCCCATCTTCCTCGGGTTCGATTCTAGGCGTCCACAACAATTGTGGCCACTGACACTGAGTTTATCAGAGTTGATTTCTTACGGTCGCAATTTGCTAGATTAGTCTGGGAATAGCCTGTGACAACTTTCCTAAAAAAATTGGTTTTTCTTTTTTTTTCTTTGCTACTGTTGTTACAAAAAATAAATAAAAACTTAAGGAGTTCGAGCTTGCAACCTATAATGCCATATGCAATGAACTATCAGTAGCCACGTTTTGTCATCCCTAGGGGAGCACACATAAATTAAAGCGGATGCACCTTTAATCAGCCCAATTGTTTTTCCATTGCATTGGATGATCAAGTGGTGACACGGGCACCCCCTAGCCCATGACTAAATCCGCCCCTGCGGCTAACATCTCTAAAATGTCTGCTTTTTTCAGGATATTAAAGCAGCAGACTGGTCGGGCAACGTGGCCCCATTTTGGCCAGCAGTGATAAAAACAGCATTATCTTGGAAGGGCATCACTTCGTTGCTACGGAGTGGTAAGGCGATCTTTTTTCTTTTAGTCATATGCGGTTGCGTTCTTAATATGGTTTTAATTTGTTATTGAAATTGATTAGGATGGAAGACCATAAGAGGGGCAATGGTAATGCCATCGATGATTGAAGGATTTAAGAAGGATGTAATCAAATTCTCCATCATTACATGTAGAAAGCCTGAATAAAAATGGTAGTCATGATATTATGTACGCTACTACTGTACTGTTTTGCTTATGAACAACAGGTTGTTTGTGGGTTGAAGGTATTTAGGTGTGTAAACCGATCTCATATGGACCAGACCGGATCTTCTGTCAACGTGCAGGCGAGTCACATTTTACTTTTTACATTTTCAATGCATTGATTTGATCCAATTAGTCAAGTTGGAGGTTTGAAAATATATAAAAAGAGAAATTTAGGGGCAATTACCATGTTATTAACCCATGTTAACTTTAATTTTGATGTATCTGGCTCAAGTAGGATATAAAGAGAGCTTGTTTAATATACATCTCCATATGCTGTCATGTTTGATGAATAATGCAGCACAGAAGCATGTACGTAGGACAATAAAGGGAACTGCGTCATCATTTTGCTAGGTAAGATTTTCGGTAAAAAAATGGCACAATATAATTGTTGGTAATCTTCTCTTATCAGATAAGCGTTTACCGGCTAAAAGTATTCCCTACCGAGAGTTGTGTAAATCTGTGCTATATTATAAAGCATTGACAAAAAAATTTAAAAACCACTTTTTATGCATAAAGTACTGTTTATTAATGTATGTTACTTAAAACTCAAGATTACAAATAGATTGTGTGTAAGTACAACTTATTAAAGTTTCATATCTGAATTCGTGTAACTAACTTATTAAAGAAAAAACAACTGCATAAGAAAGAGGTTTTTAAAAGACAAGTGTGCACGAGTAAACTAAGCTTTTAGTCCTTGTGGTTTGAGAAATATTGTGATTTTCGTTCATATAGTTTATAATTTATTGATGTTTTCATCCTGACTAAATATGTTAAAAACCATCCACTAACTTAGGATTATTTTAGTTTTTTTGATTTATTTTTATTTTTTGGTTTCCTTTTTGGTATTCACAAATTGTATCAAATGTAATGTACCTTAGTAGATTTTTAAAACTTTCATTTTTGGTATTTGAGATATGAAATCCCTGGATTATTTAATGACCTGCAAATGCTTACGAGGAGTCTAGGATTAAGCTTTTACCGATGTGGAATTTTTATTTATTTTTTAAATGCTAACCAAACCAAAAAAATTCCATGTCACTATTTCTAAATTTTTTGAAACAAATGTATTTTCTTAATCAAGAAAAAATTACATATTTATTTTGAATAGTAAATTAGTAATAGTTTATTCAACTAAGCAGAAGAAAAAAGATTTTTGAGTGTAAATTTTGTGTTATTAACAAATAAATCTAAAATATTTACTAAAATGCTTTTTCCTAACAAATAGAAATGAACAATATTATTAAATAATCCGTAAATTTATAAGCAAAATAAACAGTTAAATATGTTATAAATGTGGTAAGATTGCTACCAGTTGTAAATAAATATGCCCTCTTGACAAGCGTATATCGTTAATAAATCAATTGATGTTAAATCTTGCATGCTCTTTTTTTTTTATCAACTTGGATATTCAACTTGTTATGTGAGTCGACTTATCCCAAGTCGACTAACTGTTTTGCGAGTAGTCCAGAGTCACCGCATTTGAACATTTGTAGTCACAAGAGGATTTTTAATCCTTCTTGGATTCGAACCTGGGACCTCCAAGCATTTTTGATTTTTGAAGTCCAAGCTTAAACCAATCGGGTATCACCCTTGTGTTTGCATGCTCCTTTCAATTCTCTTTAAATTGTTAACTTGCTGACTCTTTTAAATTTCACTCCATCATCCCTGTTACGTAACTATGTATGTAATTGTAAAATTAATAACTCACAACAACCTAATCGAAACAAATAAGTCTTCGTTTTCTATATCACATCTCTCTGTAAGTATATGCATGTGTGTGTTGCCTCCATCTTCAATCACTTCTGTTTTGGATCCCCTAAAAAACCGCATATCAGCAAAGTAGTTACGTAATAATATCATATATCATCATGTGGGATTACCATAAAATGTGATCTTTTTTTTTAAGGGTATTCGGGCCAAAGCCCGACTAATCCTCGGCAAATTTGGAGGCTAAACATGGCCCCACTTAAATGTCGCCAACACTCCCCTCCCAGGGCTCGAACTCGGGTTCATGACTATGCCATGTCCAAGCCTTTACCACTAGGTTGGAAGGTCTTTGACCATAAAATGTGATATTGTCTGATAATGTTACAAAGTTTCTCAACTATGGTTCCATTAACATCCATGTTTTCCCTTCATTAAGCACAAGTAAAATATAGATTAGATTTGAAAAAAGCATGCTTGAAAAGAAACAAATGGTGACATGATTTCTTCCTTACTGTTTCAATGAGCCATGTGGGTATAATTCATGTGTTGAACAAGCATTGCTCATTGATTCTTTGAGACAAATAATCAAACATATGGTGTGCATTAAATTAATTGCATAGGAGTAAAAACAAACGCACATCAAGGCTATGACAAATTTTGTATGAACATACATCAAAATAGGGAATAATTCAATTCAGAAAAAAGGTGCTCAAATTTTAGGAAGATGACTCTTTTCGGTTTTCTACCTCATTTACAGAATATATCCCAAGTCATTATATTATCTTTCACATCGGTTTTTTAATCACATGTCATTATTTGTTGACCTATTATCGGCTCTAATAGGTGATCCAAGTACTTACAAGTTTGAAATTTCACATCACATGTACCAAAATGAAAGTTTTGAAAGTATGTTACCATATTTCACATCACATATACCAAAATGAAAGTTTTGAATGTGTATTACCCAAAATGGAAAGCAAACTAAAGTACATTATATTTTCATGCAATTGCCTTTTGGGTATTTTAGTCCTTTTGACATGATAAAACTATGTATTTTTTGTTAAAAAAATTAATACATAAAAAATTATATTATTTTATTATTGTTTATGATAAAATAATTAAATGTTCAAAAAATAATAATTTGTTCAATATTTTTGGTCATTGTAGTTTTAATTTCCTAGGGTGCGTTTGGTTAGCAGATTCTAAAGGAATCTGATGGAATTGGAATTTTGAATTTCATTGACCATATTACATTCCCGCGTCTGGTTTATTTTTTTTCACGAAAGTAATCTTCAAAATCCTATAAATTCCATAAATAAAGAAATTTAACATTCCTTAGCAACTACATAGTATTTTGATAGAATGGAATTTTCTATTTTCATAATACCAAATAAGCCTTTAACTCAATATACCATAATCTCATAAAACCCAATATGACCAACGTCGACCACTTTCGACCACCGTCTATCTAAATCATCGTCGACCATCGCCATCTGAACAACCGCCAATCATCGCCATCTGAACCACCGTCGACTACCACTGCCGACTACCACCGATCTGAACCACCGCCAACCATTACCGATATGAACCACAGCCCAGCCACCGCCAATCTGAACCACCATTGACCACCACCGATCTGAACCACTGTCAACCACCATCATCTGAACCACCACGGACCACCATCAATCTGAATCACCGCCAACTACTTACAAATCTGAATCACCACCCGCCACCACCGATCTGAACCACATTCGACCACCGCCACCTGAAGCACCACAGATCACCTTCATCTGAATCATCGCGGCCTACCATCGATCCGAACCACTACTGACCCCCGCCATTCGAACCATTGCAGACTATCACTTATCTGAACCACCGTGGACCACCAACGATCTAAACCACCGTTGATTTGGTAACATCATTTGGCTTATTGTATATTTTATATTGTTTTACATACTAAATAATTATTTTATTAAAGTATTTGTAGTTTTAAAAAAATAAAAATTTCCAAAAAAAGCATTGTGGCCATTTACCAATATTTCATTCAAATTCTAAAGCTACATTATGTGAACCAAACAGACATATACCAAAATCCTTAACAGATTTCATTTCAATATCTGTCAACCAAACAAGTGGTTAAACCTGACAACATTTCATTCCAATTTCTTCAAAGTCAAATTCCTTTAACATATTTCATTTCATCCAAAAACATTTTACGAACTAAACGTCACCTTAAAGTTTGATTTTAGCCGCTACATCGTTCCAATACCTCTAATATAAAAGTATCTTACTTTTTTCTTCATTATAAACCAAAGGATATTATATTTATGATATGTACAAAAATTTAACTATTTTTACCTTTTTTTACACATTTTTTATCATACAAATGTATGCAATTTATTAATAGGACATATAATTTTTTGTTCTCATAACTTATTCAATTATAACAAATAAACATATGTCTTATATAAATATATCACAATAAGTTTATAACATTTTTAGACATCTTTTAAAACATTTTTAAAATAAAATGTCCAATTAATTTTTTTAACGACACCTTTTTTCAAATACTCAAAACCCCATTTCATTTTTATAACATACCTGAAGAAAGCATTAATTGTATTTATAATTTTCTATAATTTTAATTATATAAAATATTCTAAGACAAAAATGTTATATATTCTAACCTTTAATGGATGATTCTTATTTGTTAATTTGACAAAATTATTAAAACAATATATAATTTTGAGATCATAAATCACTTATCTAACTAAAATATATATATATATATATATATATATATATATAACACAACAATATTTTCATCTATTTTATGCTAAAAACAAGGTATTTGAAATTTTAATTAAATCTATTACTTTCTTATGAGTATAAAATTATTATTTTTAAATAGACAAGGAGGTCATGAATTTAATTAAAAATTCATTTAAGGTTTTAAGAAATTGACATAAAAAAAACTCTAACTTGACAATATTTATCAGAACAGGTAAGTGGTCATAAAATTTGTATGATTTTTGTTTCTGAATTTGAATAGAAGTCTATATCAGAATAAGACCATTAAATTAAAACATAAATTATTAACTGATACTTATATTTACAGAAACGGTGTATAATTGAATGAAGATAACGTAATTGCTGATATAATGAGCTTATTCACACGATTAATAATAGATATGTCATATCTTTTATAATAATTAGATTGAATAAACTATCATCGGTATGTTATTTATATTTAATCATTCTATTTCAAACAAAAGTTTTATCAGGCAAAGAAAAGGAACATGGCTTTTGAAATCGAAATACTAAAGAACGGTTTTGATTTAACGAAATGTGTTTGATGGATTTGAAATATTTGGTTTGTAAGATTTAAAATGGAACTGAATTTCAGTTTTACAGATAATTATAAAATAGATTATGAATAATTATAAAATAAAATACCTAAATTATCTTTTACTAATTGATTGTTATAAAACAAATATTTCTTAACGTATTTTAATTTTTTTTACAAATAAATCATATGAAATCCCCTAAAATACCAGTTATCGGGAAATCTAAATATAATATTAATGGGTTTTTATTGAGATCCCAATATTTCGATTTCAAAATCTCTGTATAAATGAAAAACGAAAATGGATTGGAATTGTTGTCTTACAATTTTTACCATAGACAAAGAAGAATCGAGGTGAGAAAAAGAATCAAGGTGAGAAGCGTAAATAGATCTGGATATTTGATCACTTTTAATCTCAAACTCACTTATGAATTGCGTTTGATATGGAAATTGATTCGGTGCATCTCATCCTAATGTGTATCTAATAGTAGAGATTCATTCTTACGTCTCTCTTCTTCTTATCGGAACCCAGCTCTTATACAATAATTGTTTAAAGTAATAATAAAATGTTTGATATAATAAATTAGTTACTATATTTACAAAATTATATTACATTTAGAATAGGATATGAATAAGAGTTTTATAATAGGGATGGGTCGTTTACTAAACGCTTACCCTGTAGGTGTTTATCGGGCAATTTTTTTCACCGGACGAATATTACAAAGCCCAAGAATCTTATCTAGTAAGAGCGATGATAAAGATAGAGAGTCTTACCCGATAAGTGATGGTGACGACTCTTACTTGGGTAAGCACTTACTATATATATATATATTGTTGCACATGATACCATTTTGATATACTACAATCTTACCTATAAAATAAATTATAATGTTGACTCCTAACGATAAACGTTTACCGGGTTTGTTAAATAGAGTAAGTTTTACCCTAGCCAAATCCAACGAATGAATGGATTCCAATTTCAAAACCATCAAGGAAAAGCAGAGGGGGCCAGAGTTCCATTCATCCTGAACAAGTCAACCTCCACGACGACAAGTAAGAAATCTTTCACCACCATCTCATTAGATCGATCTCCTTCGTTATCCACAACAAATCAATCTGATCACAAAACTTACTTCCCCTAAATTAAACCTAAACCCTTCTAATCATACCTTTGATCTTCTACGTTCTTGAATCAGAGATGGGGGTTGGATTATCTGTTCTAATAGGATTGAAAGCAGCAACTTTATTCATAATCTTCGCCTATTTAAGAACCCTAGGATTCACTTTTCTATCAGTTCCCTTCTTGTATGCATCTTTAGTGTCATTGCTTGTTTCACTCGCTTCACACCCTGCAACTAATTTACCAATGCTCTTGGGGAAAAACACCGATGGATCTTTCCCAATTTGGTCCCTGATCATATTTAGCCCATACTTGTATTTTGTCCAAGGGTTTTCAGCACTTAGAAGGTTAAAGAGTAGGGAAGCCCCTTACACTGAGGTGTCTGATGGTTTGTATGTTGGTGGGTGGCCTTCTTCGCCGGACAAAATGCCGCCGGGTAACCCTGCTATAATAGATTGCACATGTGAATTGCCTAGGGTTTTTGGTATATCTGGCAATGGGTATTTGTGTGTTCCAACGTGGGATACTAGATCGCCTGATCCGGGTGCTATGGAGTCCGCTGTTCGATGGGCTTGTAGAAAGAGAGCTCAGAATACTCCTATCTTCATTCATTGTGCTTATGGTAATCTCTTTCAATCTTTTGATGCTTATTAATGTGTTGGTGCCAATAATATGTTGCATTGGTTGATCATTTGAGTTGTTGTTGGTATTTTTAGTGTCACTTGTTATTGGTTTATAAGATGTATGGATATGTTACATTGCAAGTATCTTTTGAATGGTTTCGTGGAATCTTTAGGGTCACTTAGCAGTGCTTCATTAAACTTTTTGGCAAGCCAGGGGTCTTCACAGAAACAGCCTCTTTACTCCTTCGGGTAGAGGAAAGGCTGCCTAATCTTACCCTCCCTAGACCCTACTTCATGTGGGATTTCGTTTGGTTCGTTTGGTTTTGTTTGGTGGGGCTTGATGAGACATATAGTTTTGTGTAAACTGCATGCTTGAGGGGTCCTCATCTAATGCTTACATAAAGTGTTAACCTTTGTGTGAGGTTGCCAGATTTCATGTCCAATAGAAGAACTTTAGTTTGACGATAAATTATAAGGCGTATAAGCATGAGAAAACTTTCCAAATCTTTTTATGGGGGTCTTCACAGGAACAACCTATCTACTAATTGGGGTAGGGGTAAGGTCTACGTACATACTACCCTCCCAAACCCTACTCCGTGTGTGATTTATTTACTGGATTTGGTTTATATGCATTGGAGCATAACGTTGTGTAGCTCCATTGTGACCAAAAGGTCATATGTTCCAAATCTTGAAAATAGTCTCTTTGCAAAAGCATTGTGCACTAAATCGGTGTCATCAATTCTTTGGTCCTTTTTACTTTCTTCATATGGTCATTGGTTGGATGGTATTTAGTTAAATGTGCATCTTATGCTTTTCAGTAAATTTACCTAATCATTTATAAGTAATACTTATTCACTTTCACGCATGGAAACAACCTCTTTACCCCTTGGACCTGATGATTGGTTTCCGTATATTTTACCCTCCCCAGACCCTTAATCATGTAGGATTTACCGAGTTCATTTACTTTGGTTTACTGTTTTAATTTCATGGTGAATGCATGCATCATCTTGTGGTAGCTTGTATTCATCATCCATTAATATATTACAAGGTGAACTCAGGTCATGGAAGAAGTGTGGCAGTCATGTGTGCTTTGTTGGTGAGCCTGGGTGTCGTTGATGACTGGAAAAACGCTGAGAAATTAATCAAGAAAAACCGACCTTATATCAGAATGAACGCTCTCCACCGGAAAGCCTTAGAAGAATGGTCAAAAAACCGATTATCTGCTCCTAAAACCGGAGCCAATACCCGCTCTTGATAGGTATGCCATTAAGCCAAAATTCTTGTACTTGTTAGAATTGTTATGTATCTGCATTCAGGGGTTCATCAACCCCACTGAACCCTTCAGAAGATGATTACGTTGCACCCTTCTTGATATTGATTAATTATGATTAACCAACTCTATTACATTGATCTTTTTCTGTGTTTGATTAATGGTCATATTTGATGATGAAAGATGGAGTGAAATATTTACCGTCGTTTATTTACTTTAGTTATTTACCCAAAGGGTAGTTTTTGATAAAGTATATCCGGCTGACTAGTGAATCCTCATCTTTGATTCGCTAGTCAGGTGGATGTTACTTAATCCAGGTATATAAGACCTATCAAAGAACTGGGTTGGATACATCTAGCTAACTAGTGGATCAGAGGTGAGGGTAAATTTGATCCACTTGTTCATTGGATGTACTCAATCAGGTTCTTTGTTAGATCTCACTTGAAAAACAAGACAACCATGGAAGGAGCTATTTAAACGTGTGGTTTGATATGTGGAAATAGACTTGAAATAAAATTAATTTGATAAATAATGAAAAAAATTGTTATTACATAACAATAAGTTCTAATAAATTGAGATATAGTTACATGTAAAACGCTTCATGTTCATTTAAAAGATTAATAAGATTCACAGCTTATTTGGTGAATTATAGATGACAATTAAATAATGGCTTAATGATATAGAAAGTGGTTGTCATCTTACACGAATCTTATGGAAAAATATTTACTTTATAACCACCTCGTAATTTTTTTTCACATAATAGCTAAGGGGTTGTTTGTTTACTTCTTAATAATTTCATTAAGAGATAACATATGAATCATTAAGAGGCGAATCTTGTTTGGTAAAAAAAAAAATCTTGCCTCTTGATGGTTCTAAAACCCTCTGAATGATTTTGTATCATAAGTCTCCTTTAACCATTAAGCGCACTGATTTCATTATAAACAATTACCAAACAATGGTATTTCATTTTGCACTATATCATGAAAACCTCTTAATCATTTTGCATCAAACCATTCAGCAACCGCTGAACAATCCCTAACAACTGTTGTTGCCAACAAATACCACTATTTTTTTGTAAGACCGACAAAGAAGAAAGCAGTCGGCATATTCAGAATAAATCCATCCAGACATTCTGACCGGAAAACATCGATAGAGTAACAAAACCCCCTCCTCTCTTTTTGTAATCTTTCCTTTGGTTTAATTCTGCGATTGCATCAGCAATGAAGTCTGGTTTATCTGTTCAAATGGGATGGAAAGCAGCAACTTCATTCATAATCTTCGCATTTCTAAGAACCTTAGGGTTTGCTTTACTGTCACTTCCCCTTCTATATTCATCTTTTATATCATTTCTTGTTTCAATCGCTTCACACCCCTCAATCAATTTCCCAATCCTCTTGGGGAAAAACACAAATGGGTCTTTCCCAATTTGGTCTCTAATCATATTTAGCCCTTACTTGTATTACGTCCGATGGATTTCATCACTGAAAAGGTTGAAAAGAAGAGAACCCCCTTACACTGAGGTCTCTGAAGGTTTATATGTCGGTGGTTGGCCTTCTTCGCCGGAAAAAATGCCCTCCGGTGACCCTGCTATCATAGATTGCACCTGTGAATTGCCTAGGGTTTTTGGTGTTTCCGGCAATGGGTATTTGTGTATTCCGACGTGGGACACAAGGTCACCTGATCCAGATGCTATTGAGTCAGCTGTTTTGTGGGGTTGTAGAAAGAGAGCTCAGAATACCCCTGTTTTCATCCATTGTGCTTCTGGTAATTAATTGATTTCATCAATTCTTTTCATCCTTCCTTTGTTCTTCATTTCACCATGTTAGATGATGAACTCAGGTCATGGAAGAAGTGTGGTGGTCATGTGTGCACTGTTGGTGGCCTTGGGTGTCGTTGATAACCTGCAAACTGCTGAGAAGTTGATCGGAGAAAAGCGACCGAATGCGCGAATAAGAGATCACCACCACAACACCTTACAACAATGGTCAAACAACTGGTTATATCCTCCTTTAAAACCAGACCCAATGCGCCTTCTTGATTAGGGGTTGTTTACGGCCGTTTACTAAACACTTAGTGGGTAATAGCTTATCACAACAGGCAACACTCTTGTTTATCTTATCATGTAACATTCGCAACGATATTTTCAATATTGAATATAATAACCACCATCTCTCCCTTGTAGAAATAACACCTAAATATCCCTAAATCATGAAAATTCATATACCTAAAAATATTCCATTGTTTTCGGGGTTATCATTAGCCATCTGACATTTATTCTTACATAATAACCAAGAAACAACAAGTAACACTGTAAGACATTTTTTGTAGTTTTTAGATAAAATTTAGTACATACACCAAAAAAGTGGGCCCATTGCAAAAATCATTAAAAACCGCAGGTTGAGATATCGTAGTTCCTTGCATTTATGCACAAAAAACAAGCATGGAGTTGCAAGCTGGAAAATCACAAAACCCTTCTCGCAGCTTGCCAAACCAACAAAAAAAATACATTACGACGTTGACTTACGATTTGTTAGCAATTTTGTAAGAAAAGTGAGATGGCGTAAAATAAGTATTTTTTGTTGATGTGGTTATTTAGTGCACCTCCGGCAGATTCTCTATAGTTTATCTAAAATAGAATAAAGTTATAATCTCTAAAACAAAATTGCATTCCAATAAATTTTATACTTTAAAGAATTTCATCAACTATCTTTATTGAAAATTCTATAATTTTATCGTCGTAATACATTTTAATAAATAAAAAAAAAACTTATAAATCAATTCATTGGTATCTCCTCATCAAAGAGTTGTTGAAAGTTCTCGATATTTTGAGTTTTCTGTAGTTTAATTGTTTTAGTGAATAAAATAGAAAATGGGTTATAATCTATACTACCTTATAACACATATTTGCTAAAGTATTAAAAACAACTCATAATATATGAAGTACTACTATTCCATGCATTTGGTCTTAAAAAGTCGTGATCAATATCTATGTCTATCTATGCTACCTTATAAAGCATATTTGCTAAAGTCATAAAAACATCTTATAATGCATTAAGTATTACTATTTCATGCATTTGGTCTTCAAAAGTCTTAAAAAACAATCTTTAAAGCGAAGCACTGCATTTTAAAGCCTGGTTTCTTAAAATCTCTTAAATACAAATTTTTATTCACAGTGTACAAGTGATCAATGCTTGCCCATTTACTGATGAGAGTGTATATTCCATAATGATTCCGGACCTCTTCCTCTCGATCTTCGCCTCCTCCCTTCCCCCAAGATTTGCAGTTTGCAGGATTTGCCTCTTTCCCGAGATGGCTTTTGATTTCCTAAAGACCATGCCCTTTTCATCTACAATTTCGATCTTTTTTTGCATTTGTCCGTCTCTTTTCTCGATTTTGTATCTTTCCTCCTAATATTGATATATAATGCTCAAATTCCCCATCCATTCTTTTATTATTATTATTATTATTATTATTAACCTGGATATCCATTCTTTGTCTCTCTTGGTAAGATTTTATTGATTTCTTAATTGATCTTGAATACATTTTCCATTGAAAAATAGGTTATGTGTTTTTAACTGAAGGAGATGACTCGTTACTTTTGCAATATGCATGTGCTTGTAAGGGAAGTGTACTCAGTTGCTCTAAACTTGCAATTTGTAGTTGCCTTTTAACTTTTAAGGGAAGTGCAATCTGCAAGATAGTCGATGCTTGCTGATAAGTTTTATTATGAAGTCGTTTTGTATTTTGCAATGATATAGTTTTAATTGATTCAAATTGGTGGTCGTTAGGCCATCCCGTTTGAGCTTCTAAGGCTCCGTCCAGTACTTAGATTGGCACTACTAATCCTTTTTGCATCTTCTCTTGGTTGTATCGATCTCATTTACTTGTAACTTTTGATCGTACCTAATGTGCTTTTCTTGTATAGGTTCATTTGCTAATAATTGCTTTGTGTTTGCAATTCTGGTTAGTTTATGATTGCCAAACTGATCAAGTTTTGTTACTATATCTATCCCAACATTGTTACATTCTTATTGAAGTTATAGGTCGTATGAATATGGTCGATGAGAGACAGATGATTCAGAAGTTGGAGGTATTTATTTTCAAACTATTGCTGAGGGCTGCAATTATGGACCTGCAGCTGCAAGGTCAGTTGTTAAGTTTTGTTCATTAGATGCAAATGAACTTGAAGTTCCACAAGCTAGTTTTTGTTTAGTGGATGATGACAAGATTGTTGGATTCAACGGCTTCAGGGTTTTTTTTTTTAACATGAATATTCAACCCGCTATACGAGCCGACTAATCTCATGGCGACCACCTGCTTTGCAGATAGCCCGGAGTCGCCGTATTTGAACCTCCATGGCCACAAAGATGTTTTTATTTCTGCTTAGATTTAAACCTGAGATCTTCTTATATTTTTTGACCTTTGAAATCAACCTCAAACCAATCAGGACACCGTATGCGTTTGTTGTGTTGTTGCTGATTCCTATGGTAGTTGCCATTATAAACGCACCTCAAAAGCTGACAAAAAAAAAAAAGTCAACCTCAAAAGCTGACAAAGAAGAAATCAGTCGGCATAACCATCTATCTAATCGGAAAACTGGAAAAGTTGGGTAGTTTCATTCCGCGATTGTATCAGGGATGAAGTATGGATTATGTATTCATATGGGATTGAAATCAGCAATTTTATTCATAATCTTCTCATATCTAAGAACCCTAGGATTTACTTTACTGTCACTTCCCTTTTTATATGCATCTTTTATATCATTTCTTGTTTCAATCGCTTCACACCCCTCAATCAATTTCCCAATCCTCTTGGGGAAAAACACAGATGGGTCTTTCCCAATTTGGTCTCGAATCATATTCAGCCCTTACTTGTATTATGTCCGATTGATTGCATCACTGAAAAGGTTGAAAAGAAGAGAACCCCCTTACAATCAGGTGTCTGATGGTTTGTATGTTGGTGGGTGGCCTTCTTCGCCGGAAAAAATCCCCTCCGGTGACCCTGCTATCATAGATTGCACCTGTGAATTTCCTAGGGTTTTTGATATTTCCGGCAATGGGTATTTGTGTATTCCGACGTGGGATACAAGCTCGCCTGATCCAGATGCTATTGAATCAGCTGTTTTGTGGGGTTGTAGAAAGAGAGCTCAGAATACCCCTGTTTTCATTCATTGTGCTTCTGGTAATTAATTGATTTCATCAATTCTTTTGATCCTTCCTTTGTTCCACTAATTATATATTACATTAGGTCATGGAAGAAGTGTGGCAGTGATGTGTGGTTTATTGGTGGCTTTGGGTGTCGTCGATAGCCTGCAAGCTGCGGAGGACTTGATCAGAGAAAAACGACCGAGTGCGCGAATAAGAGATCACCACCGCACCACCTTACAACAATGGTCAAACAACCGGTTGTTTCCTCCTCTAAAACCAGACTCAATGCACCTTCTTCATTAGCTACATTACAAATTGGGTAAGTTGGTGGTAATGTTTGATTTGTGGTGGAGATGTTGGAAGCCTAAATATGGCCAAAAAAAAATGAACCCAACTAACCATGAGGTTGTGGTGCATTGGTTGAGATCCTGGGGGATATGGTGGAATATTTCATATGTTCAGGTCTGACTCCAAGCGTGAATAACAATTATGGTTATTAAGTTTATAAGGTTGATTTAGTACTGTCGCAATTTGTCGGTATTGATTCAGGCTATGAGTGGAGCACTCAAAAAATGAGCCCAACCACCAAAGCATTTAGAAGTTTTCACTAAATTATTGTAAATGCTTATTTTGAATCAACTCAACAAGTCATCAAGATGATTTATTGCCAAACTATATATATATATATATATATATATATATATATATGAGCAGTGAGCTATAACAACCGAAGCTCGAGCTTGCTTCCAAATCTATCCGTTGGTTCTTTTACCAGCCTTGTTGGAGTGATTTTGTATGATATCACGAGTGGAATCTTGTTGTCGACCCTTGTACGTGGCTAGAAGTTTTTGTATTGCTTCTGAGAATCGTTTCACTTTCTGACCATCGCTTGATGTTGATCGCTTGTTTTCCGCCGTAAAATCGTGCTCGTTTTCTTCGACCTTGCACCTGTGAAGCCTCATGTATTTCATTTTAATTACTCTCCTAAGTGTATATAATATGATGTTGATGATGTTTAGTGCAATTTATAAGGGGTTTATGAAGGTATCAGAAGTCAAGGACAAAGAAAAGGACAAGTAGAGATGGTTGAATGTAGATGGGGTGGTTGCATCTTTCAATATTTTAATGATGTAACGTTCCGTTTTGGGTAATTTACGAACGAAAAATAAATATAAGATCAAAATGATATCGTTTTATATAATAAATCTCATGTATGTGCTTTGTAGCTTGGTCGATTAGGGGACTCTAGACCGATGTAATGCGACTCCCGAGATCCGTACAATTTAGAGATCCATGAGTAAAAACTAGTGATACACATTGTTGAAAAAAATCGATTATCAAATTTGTTCCCATCGAGTATATAACGAACCCATAACCAAAAGCCTATAAGATAACGATGTGAACCACTATTAAATATATTATTTCAGTTAAATATTATGATCATCTATTTTTTTCGCATCTTGTGAATAATATGTGACATAACAACACCAAGAAGGAAAAAGAATTAAAAATCCTTACAAAAACATTATGTAAAAACCTGGATATATATTGTGATTAATAAATTAATGTTTTTATGGAGCAATTAAGAATTTCTTATTTATGGAAGCAATATCAATACTATATTAAAAATTATTTGACAAAAACCATTTTTTATGCATACAGTACTGTTTATTAATGCATGTTATGTAAAACTCAAGATTACAAATAGATTGTGTATAAATACAACTTATTAAAGCTCCAAATCTGAATTCATGTAACTAACTGCAGATAAAAATAATCAAATACATAATAAACATCTCATTTTAAATATAAAAAATCTAAAACATAATTAAGATAATCATTGAGTTCTAACAGAATAATTAATTATTATCTTTATGAAATGTTATATTATTAAACCAAAAATAAATTGTTTTATTATTAAACTTAAAATAAATTATAATAAAAAAATTAAATTAAACAAATTACATAAAAATTGAGAATTTCTAAATATTTGATTTGATGCTAACATTGATATATTTTTTTCAAATTTTTATGATATCTTCAAATTTATATTTTATTCAAAAATAAAATCATTATTGTTTTCTTAAAAACACATAAAAAGTATTATAACATCAACAGAGACAATTAAAAAAATATAACATTAAAATTGAGATGTATCTCGCTGCATTGTCCGAGTACCCTTCTAGTATTAATTAAATGCATTTATGAGTTAAAAGTTGTATTTTTCATTACTACATTATCTTTTCTATTTATTTAGTAAATAACATAATTAACTTAAATAAATGATTTTCATTTGATTAAGTCTGTATATATAGATGAGTCCCGTTTGGTTTTCTTTGTGAAGATAAATGACTCACTTAACTCAAACGGTTAGAGTATTGCTTTCATACGACAAGAGTCATTAGTTCAAATCCAATAATAGGTAGAACTTATTAGATACCATTGACTGTTGTATCTAATAAATTTTTATACCCATTTTCTTTTAGTGATATTGATTTTGTATCTTTTCTTTTTCGTTGCATCAAAATCTGATTGCGCTTGATTGTATTTACTCRACAGAATCAAGTCAAACAAAACAACCAAATATTGGGTGTATAAATCGTTGGTTACTCGAATGCCATATGAGATGAAAATCTCATGTATGGTTTTGCAACGGAGATTCTTTGAATTGAATGACGACCATAACGGATGTCAGCTCAACCTGAAGGAAATTATGCGAAAGTTTTACAGAATTATTATGAAGCAATACGACTAGAAATTGATCCCTATGACCGAAGTTATATACTCTATAACATAGGACTTATCCACACAAGTAACGGAGAACATACGAAAGCTTTGAAATATTATTTTTGAGCACTCAAACGAAACCCATTCTTACCACAAGCTTTTAATATGGTTGTGATCTGTCATTACATGCGAGGTAGATTCTTACGAGAATCATCACCTTCGCTTATCTTGTTTTTTAAGGTCAGTTCTTGTATGATATCGATGAAGGTCTCATGTTCACGATTATTATTCTTGCAAAACTCGGAAAGTATTAAAGCACATTTATTCCTCAAGCTGTCGACTGTGTCAGTCGGAAGTGCGTACGGCAGATCAGCTTCCTCTACCTAGGTACTAATGATACATATTTAAGAAAAGAAAATTAGACAAATTATGTACAAAATCACATGTGATTTTACATAAACGGGTAAAAAGGGGGCACGGACGACTTTGGCCACGACCTCAAGTTGCGAGAATCACGTCATTTTATTCGTGATGTCAGTATAAAATCACATGTGATTTAATCATTTTATTATTTTCTTAAATATGTACTATTCTCGTATAAATCTACCTCCCTTTATATATATATATATATATATATATATATATATAATATTTGTATATATATATATATATATATATATAATATTTGTATATTCAACATGTTTAACGGTGGAGATGTTGAACCACTACCGAGAAGTATATTTAAAGATTCCAAAACCTCAACCTAACCAATAACCAATAACCATTGCCATATGGATGACGGAAGCGTTCTCTAAAATCCCTTTATGTTATTTTCATATAATTGTAAATACAAGTTACAACCTCAAGGTCAAGCAGGTATACCGGAATCCATTGCAGAGGACATCGGAAGTCAAGGCTTGCCATAGTAAAAATGGAACCAAGGTAAAAAATGAAGATCAACAAGAATACAAAAAATCAAATAAGTCATCAAGTAAAAAATCAAAACCAAAGTAGTTTAGGAAGTATAGCACAAAAGATTTGCAAATTACGCATAAAAAATTTCCATTTCAAAGAAAAAATGCAACTTCAAAATGCACAAATTCTAAATCAACACAAAGTAAAATTCAAAATTTGGAATGCTTGTTGCAATACAGGAGGCAAACTTGAAACCAACCAAACATTTAATCTACAACATAACACACCCAAAATTTGGAATTGGCTAGAAGCAAAACTTTTGAACTTAAAACTCAAAACCCGGGTAAGGGTTGTCACTCTCACTTACAGGGTAAGACTTCTAGTCCTTGTTATCCCTCGTACAGGTAAGATTCTCAATTATTGTCATGTTCATTCTATAACGTAAAAGTGACTAATAAGCACTTACCTGGTAAGCGTTAGTAAACGACCCCTTAATCTACAAAATCATAAAACACAACACATGGAATTGGCTACAAGCAAAACTTGAAGTTGAAACCCAAAACCTCCAGGAGTGAAAAAACGCAAGGAAAACCATCTACATCAAGAACAAAAGTGTGCACAAAAAACCTCGAGGTCAAGGCAGGTTTACCGTTATCCTTGTGAGAACAACCAAGTAAGCAAAGCAAGTGGAGGCTTGCGAGAGTAAAAATGGCATCTAAGGTGAGTGCATTAAATCAAATAACCATGGAAATGAAAGTCAACAAACAAGCAAAAGGCCAAGAAAACAAATAACTCTATATATTCAGAAGCAGGGAGAGACATGTTGTATGTATTATATAGATATGAAACTTAATTCCAACTAATAACCATACACTAACTGGATTCAAAATAAGTCACACCTCATAACATGTCAAGTCAACAATCCACTCATCTTCATAACGAGGCTCAACAAAATCTTCTTACGAATACCAAAATCCACGAAAAGCTGAAAAAACATGACAGAGATATTACCAGTTTATTTCTATTAAAATTCATTCCCATTCGAGAACGGAAAGTGGGTTTAGAATTTCAAAAACAAACTGATACCTCTGAGATGCACAAATTTAAACCTTCGTCGGTAGAGAAAACAAAAAAGACAAGAAATGACAAAACAAAGCCTACAAATAACCTCATCATGAATCTTGAAGCAAGGTATATAGGCCTTCCTTGGGACGCTTCAGGAATTTGGAAGGACTTCGTGAGTTAAGGACTTTGGAGCAAGGTAGAGGAGTTAAAATATCACATTTTAGACATGGAATTTACATGAAGCAAAACTTGAAGTTGAAACCCAAAACCTCAATAGCCGCAAACGCAAGGAAAACCATCTACAACCGGAACCAAAGTAGACGGAGAAAACCTCAAGGTCAAAGCAGGTTTACCGGATTCGGTTGGAACC